GCTCTTTTTGAGAATGACATCTACTTCTATGGCTTGAACTACTACCTGCATACAGACCAAGCCAATATCCAGCTCAGATCTCACGTCTCAGAATCAGATTTTTTTTCTTAAGATTTTATTTTTTCCTTTTTCTCCCCAAAGCTCCCCAGTACATAGTTGTATATTCTTCGTTGTGGGTCCTTCTAGTTGTGGCATGTGGGACGCTGCCTCAGCGTGGCTTGATGCGCAGTGGCATGTCCGTGCCCAGGATTCAAACCAACGAAACACTGGGCCGCCTGCAGTGGAGGGCGTGAACTTAGCAACTTGGCCACGGGGCCAGCCCCTCAGAATCAGATTTTTTAAAATAATACAACTAGCTACAATGGTAAATTTTCCACATCAACCTAACTTTTCTTTTTCCAGCATTTTTGGTGTTGGTATATCATCCATTTATTATTATAATCATTTATTATCTTCTATCTAATGTGTAGTGGAACATACATGATACAGTTAGGCATATGACAATACAGAAGTAATATACAGGCACTAGAAAAGCATGATCACTCAAACCAGCAGCCAAGGCCTTATTCTAGATCTTTCTCACGCACAAGACCCATATCTGATTGCTCAGCAACTCCTGACTTCCTCAGAGCCATGCCTTCCCAATGTTTGGGTTTCAGCTCTTTTTTCTCTACCCCAGACAGGCATCTTGGATAGAAGCAATGTGATAGGCAATTAAGGGGAGAATCCAAGAGGCATTAAGAAAAGAAGGAAATTAAAAGAATTGATGAACAAGCATCACAAGGAGGACTTTAACAAAGAATAGGAGAAAAAAATCAAACAGTAGAAAGTATTATTGAGGAAAAAAATATGGGGGACGTAAACTTGAGAACAAATGTATTTAGTGGGCAAGTAGAGGAAGACGAACTAGCCCTAAAGATAAAGAAGAACCTTGGACACTATGGGAGAAGAGGAAGTCAGGGTCATGAAGAAGAGAAAGGAATCTCAAGGCATGCAGGGACATCCATATCTTGCCACATGTCTCTGAGCTGTTTTATGTACGGTAGAGGCAGAAGCACATTCTTGAGAGATCAAGAAGCAGCCAAGGTAAAAAAATGAAAGGCCTTGAGTATATACCAGAAATTTGGTCATGCTCATGCTTTTCTGTTGAGAAGAGATACTGAAGATTGCATTGAGATGGTACCTTGAGGAGAGTTAGTTTTCCCTGCTTCTTATTCCTCCTCATCTCCCAACCTATTAACACTGAAGTGTGTCAGGTCTCAGTTCTTGTCCTCTTTCTAGCTTTACTCACTCCCTTGGTAATCTTCCAGCCTTATTGCTTTAAATACAGTTTCTAAAGCTGATGACTCTTCCACCTCTATCTCTTGCCCAGATCTCTCCTCTGAACTCCAGACTTATGTATGCAACTACCTAGCAACATGACTACTTGGATTTCTAATAAGGCCCAAATCTAGGAGCTTCCTTGTCCCCCACCCTCTCTCATCCTCCACATCCAATCTATCACCAGATCTTGTTGGTTTGTTTTCAAACCCTATGGAGAAACTGATTGCTTCTCATCACCTCCTCTACTACCATCCTGACCCAAGCTCCATCCTCTTCCTCACCTGGACTATCTTAATAGCTCCCTAACCGGCCTCTCAGCTTCACTCTTCACTTCTGGCTTATTCTCCACATGATGTCTTGAATGTTCCTCTTAAATAGTCAGTCGGATCTTGTCACTCTTCTGCTCAAAATACCTTCCCATCTCGCTCAGGTCCTAACTAAAACCTCATTCTCTCAGGCAGATATTTCTGGGGCATCGGATTTAAAATTGCAACCTCTCTTTTTCACTTCCTCTTCTCTTTCCTGGCTTGATATTTTTCCCTCAGATCTTATCCCCATCTAACATGAAATATTTTTTCCTCATTTATCTTGTCTATTGCTGGCCTCCTTTCACCCAAATTAGACCCATGATTCAGGAGTTTTTATCTCTTTGGGTCAATGACCAGAGAGTTCCTGACACTCAAAACGTGTTCATCACATACGTAAATATATTATGAGAAATCACATAAATAAATGAAATGCAAAATATTTTGCAGGATGACTGGGTTTCATATCTGGGGTTGTGCCTCAACCCCAAAAGTTCGTATTTCGCTAATGTGGGCATTTAAAAAGTTCTGTTACACCTTGGGTAATAAAAGGTTTTTCTCTGCATTGTGTTAATAGGAAGCGGAAACAAAATATTTGATCCCTAATGTCCCCACTTTGCCTCCACGGTATTCATTAGATTTACTAGATTACTTCAGTTCTTTACTCTGATCATTATCATTTTCATTTTTTTAGTGACGTTAGAGAACACATATACATGTGAAGTTTTGTTAGCAGTCAGTGAACAATTCACACAATTCAAATGAGCCTTTAATGTCATTTCCAAAGGTAAGAGAAAAAATAACTTGACATAAAGTTACAATTCTTACCAAAACGCAATGCGCTGACAAAGGATTGAGAAATCTTTTGAGTTAGGATAATCTATTAAAAGCATGTTCTCATGAGAAGTGAAACACATCTGTGCAACTTCAGCTTTTTATAAAGTGGGTGAAAAGCTTACAGAAGCTCCAGCAGGAAAACAATAATGAAAGAATTTCAGTGTGAACCTGTTTGGAAACACAGCCTTTATTTTCTCCTGTTTTTATTACAAAAACATTATAACAATATTACAGATAATTGGGACAAAATTTCTATCATTCCCGTCACCCTAATATAAGAAAAAATACCTTCATTTTTCATAGGAAATTTGAGTCTTCGTCCACATATATGTTACATAGCTGATATCATAATGTACATTATCATTTGACCTTATATATTTTCTTTAAAATACTATTAATATTTTTATATTTCAGATGATTTTTTTCAAATTTAAAATGATGGGCTACATAATAATTCATGAAATATATGTATTTTATTTATGTAACCATTTTCCTATAATGTAATTCTTTTTGAAAAATTTTTCCCCTCTTCTTTGGAGGCAATGTTTTACTAATATAGATGATGATGTAAATATTTTCATAATTCAGCCTTCTTCTTTTGAAGTGTTTCTTTATGATAATTCACCATTTGTTGAACCACCAGGTGTCAGGAAAACTATTTTAAACTTCTTTGAATCTACTGATTGCTCTTTAAAAAGATCTTAAATATTTACAAAGATTCCATTCATAAGAGTATGACAGTTTTAAACCAAATTCACCACTAGTTAGTAATAATTATTCAGTAGTAATTATTTTAGAGTCATTTAGATTTTGATAAGAGTTAAATGATATCTCAAGGTGGCTTTATTTCGCATTTTTTATTATGTGGAAGAGGTATTTCCATGTAATTGTTTACTATTTATTTTTCTTCTTGGGTTTTTGTTTATTTATATCAATAGCTTTTACATCCCCAGGGGATCCTTCTTTATATAGATGTGAAAATTCTTTATATGTATTAAATACTGCACATTCTTTCTTCTAAGACTGTCCCTATTCAGATTTATCATCAAACTCTTAAGGTTCATTTCATCTTTACAATTTGGGGTAAATAATCACTGTGTAACTTTCCTTATTGTTTAAAAACAGAGACTTTGATTTTTTATGAACAGTTAAAAATATATATGAAATGAAAATAAAATTAACGTATTTGTCAAGCCAGTGGCTCTCCACAAGATGGATTAAGGTAAGAAATGGAAGAGTCCATACTGTGCGTGATGCCACTCATGTTCATCCTAGGTAGTGAAGAAGACAGAGCGTCCATTTTTAAATCTGAAGTCTAGATTTGAATATTGACTATGCTATTTCCTAGCTATGTGATCTTTGGCAAATATTTTAATTTATTTGACTGCAGTTTCTTTACATACGTAAAATATGATTACATCAATTGAAAGAATTATGAAGATTAAAAATAATTTTTGTAAATTGCCTGGTACATAGACAACTGTCAATAAATGACTCACCATTATTTTAAAATGTCAATTTTTTTATATGGATTTTTAAAATTTTATCCTCACAGCAGCTCCGTGAGGTACACAGCAGTATTTTCTCCATTTTACAAGGTTAGGAAACCAAGACCTAAAATGTTTAAGTAAGTAGTTAATGTTGTACAACTAGAGTGTAGGGGAGCTGATTTGAATGTAGGTGGTGTACGTCCAGAATAGCAGCTCCTAATTACTGCATAAAACGTAATAATCTCATTCTATGACTTTTCTATCACTATGCTCACGTGGCAGTGAGAATGCTAACCCTGTTTGATGCTGTGTAAATCTTACCTATTCTTCAAGATGAACCTAAATGCTAACATCTCCATGAAGTTTTTTTGAATAGTCCTTTCTCCCCTTGAAGTAATTTTGGCCTCTCATTCGTTCCCATGTTAGTTATCTATAGCGCTTTCCCCCTACTTAAGGTGCTCAAATTATATTACACCTATTTGTCTTAGATCACAAACTCCCTGAAGACAGAGACTGTATTTTATTGTTTGTATCCCTTCCTTACATCTAGCTCAATGAAGTGCATGCAGTAAAGGTCCAGCCAATATTTGCTATATGAGAAAGTAAAGATAATAAAATGTATTACGTTAAAGCCAAAACTATTATATGAAAAGTAAGGAAATGAAACTAATTAAAATGGTTAATCATATTTTGAATAAAGTCAATAATTTTTTAATAAAATATGGACAATTACATGCCAAAAATTTCTTGCTAGTTCAACCAACAAAGTATTTAGTATATTTCATATATATTTGTGCACACACGTTTTTCACTCACAGAAAACCTTGCAGAAATCTCTATTTTTCATCATTGAAATAACCAAATCAAATTATTAGTAGTAGGATAAAAAGTTCTACCATAAATTATGGATTTTATATATATATATTTATATATATATATCACATACACACACACACACACGTACACAAACACACACAGACACAGAACAGACTTATATACTCAATGGAAGCAATTTGGGAAAAATATTAAAATGAACTTCTTTTACCGTTTATCCTGAGGACAGCAGCACTGATTTATCCACTTCCCTCTCTTTACAAATGAAAGCTAAAATCTTTATCACATAGTATTTCGCCATCTGGTTCATGAAGAAAGGAAATGACACATTTGTGTGTTGAAAATCTTTCTTAACAATGTATTTCAATAGGACTCTCATCAATGTACAAGTTTGCAAAATCTAAATTTGTCGGATAACTCATTCCTCTTTCTATCTAGGATATCATAAAAAAAAGAGAAGTAAAGTGAAAAGAAATGAGGATTATTGTAACAGGGTACATAATATATGGTAGATTAATCTTTCCCTTTTTATAAGATATGAATGCCTTCTGTAATATTCTCATTATCTATTATCTTCTATTAATCTCATTATCTTCTACTAATTCATATTATCTCCTCTTTCATCCTATATAACATTGAGGCAAGACTCCATGTTTAAGTGATTTGTCTTTCTTCATCCTTTTTCCTATATCTTTTACCTCTAGCTTCAAACACAGGAGGAAAGACTATGGATGCCTACTAAGAAAACGTAATAATCCAATAATGCTTACTTCAGCTCAACCTATACTGATGTTAGCATTATGTCTAGACCTCTTTCGAGCATCTAACAAGTTGTTATTTCCCCAGGAGTAGAGTGTAGGAAAGGGGTCCCAGGTATGGGGTCAGAGGAAAGGAATGTCCTTCACTTTCTACCACTTTGTCAGAGTTTTACACTTTTCATCTCATGTATTTGATCACATTCAAGTTCCAGTAGGACTCATATAAAAAACACACAACATTGCATTACTGAGCTAATTTTTAAATCTAATTTTTCTGGGGGAAAGTATTTAGTTTATATGCCATAGGCACTTCTTGGTACTCTAAGCAGGGAGACATAATACGTCCTACCAAAAGATGGCCACCGTGGTCTTGCCGTGCCCATGGCCACCGCAGAACACTCCCTCAGAAGACAGTATGCCTGGTGGAAAGAATGCAGGAACAGTGCACTGTGAGAGACAGAAAGTAACGGTATCACACAGTCATTCTTAAAGACTAATGGTAATAGTAACTGAGGAGTTGGAGCAAGCAACACACATTCTAGCCAGGCAGCTGTCGACAAGGGGTAGGCTCCAGGGCAGGACCGGAGTGGATCCAGGTTAGACCAGCATAAAAGGTATTAGGCTATTCCTTAAGTACGCTAGTTTAAATTTATCACCAAATTCTCAGTGAAGAGGAACTGGAGACTGACATTAGGACTCATTCTATTTCCTTTATAATTGTTTGTATAAACATCTTATTATAGAATATGTTTCTTCTGTGGTCTTTACAAAAGTCTAGAGTTTAAGAACTCCTTTGTATATTGTTAAATTTGGATACCCCTTTCAACACCACATGATTAAAAAGTCAGACTCTGGGAATAGCAAGCTAAGACACCAACTTTCCAAAATTCTATCCTAATAAGGTTTATTTCTGTGAGGGCTATATTTCTAGGCTGTCTCTGTAATATTGTTATGTATACATCTTTACTTCCACAATGCTAACCACTTCTCTATTTGATTACTTCCACATTCTTCCGCCAATCTAAGTATTCATGGAAAACAAAATCTGTCTCTCTGTATGTATGTGTGTACATATATATATATATATATATATTATATTACATGATATTATCTATTAGGTCTTACTGCATGTAAGGTGCCTTACCAGGGAATCAAGTAGAAAATGTTCAGGTCAAGCTAATGATTAATTGAAAGAACAGAAAGAATGTCTAAAAAGTTGGGATTTTCTATTCATCGTCTCATTTGATTTCATGGCAACTTAGATCAATTTCCTGATTAAGAAATTGAGGCTTAGTTGGACATGTTGTGGCAGTGTCCCACATATAGAGGGAGATTGGCATGGATGTTAGCTCGGGACCAGTCTTCCTCACCAAAAAAAAAAAAAAAAAAAAACCAAAGAGAAAAGAAATCGAGGCTTAGACATATTAAGAAAACTTGTCAAACTCATAGAGCTACGAGTCATAAGAGCTGGTATTTAAACCCAATTAAGTTTGATTTCAAAACTTGGCAAAATATACATTTTTCTCAATCTGAGATCAATGTATGTATTACCAGTGTTCTTTATCACAAATGTTATATTGAAAACAAACCACAAAAAAGACACATTCCAGATTACCTGAATGAATGGTGGCTTTACTATCAGTTACTGCCATGGGATTCCAATGACTTTGTTTTTGTTGCTTATGGACATATGTGTCTGGAGTGAAGGCTCCATAATATTATGCCCAGTGTTCAAATAAGAGTTTCACAATCAGAGAAATGGGTTGGAAGAATTGACTTCAGTCTTGTAGGGCTCATTGTGGTAGAGACATGCACGCTGAAATCAAGCAAAGATATATTTCACACTCATTAAGAGGTACTTTTGCATGTCTAAATGAACAGGTCATTTGTATAAGGTGTATAATACCGTATATTTGTGGGATAAATTTGCAAAGATAATATTTTTTCATATTCTGATCTCAAAGCATTAACTAGATAGTGACTTAAATAAAAGTTGTAATAATGTTGCAGTGGACACAGCTCTCCATGTGAACATAATGCATTTATAGAATTATCAAAGCATACTTCTTCAAATATATTGAAAAAATGCATGCTAGCAGAGGTTAAGTCTGATGGTCATAAATAGAAAAAAAGAAAAACCTTGATGTTATCAATGACATTTTATGCAATCCTATATGAACAGAAGTTTCTTGCATGAGTATTCCTGAAGTTAACAGACAGAGACAGACTGAGCAGAGGAGCAGAACTAAGCAGTATCTTCCTCTATTAAACCTGTTAAAAATGTTTTGGTTCAGCCACACAGTCTTAAATTGATATTATTGATTAAAGTTTTAGTATTTTTATAGGATTTCTGAGTTTAATTTGCAAATGCGTCATATTTCAAAAGTTGGTTAAGAACTATAGGCCTAAAGAACTTAAGTCTAAATTTATGTTTCTATGTTTTAACATAAAATAATATAGTATCAACACTCAGTGGGGTGGAGGGACCAACACATTTACTTTCGTCTGAGAAACAATGCACTTTACCACACTGTCAGTTTTTAAAACAAAGTGCATGGAAGACTTTTAGTTCCAGCCTCGACATCTTCCTCTATTTCATGTGGGGTCCTGCCACAGTGTGGCTTCATGGGGGTCCACACCTGAGATCCGAACCCCTGAACCCCGGGATGCCAAAGTGGTGCACACAAACTTAACTACTACACCACTGAGCTGGGCCCTGCAAGGTTCTTTTTGAAGGGAAACCCAAAGACCACAGAGAACACAAAAGTAAGGACACTAGAGGAAAGTTTAGCCTCTGATGGCTACAGCTGCAGCAAACTTTAAACACAGCCCAACTCCTAGCCAGGTTATCATAGAATCTCCCACCGCAAGCCTATTTACCTCAGTTCCTATTACCTGATTGATCATCTCCAGCTTTCAACCCAAAATTACAAGTCATGCTAATAGGCAAGTAAGCCTATCCCAGGCCCTAATAGTCACACTCGCTGGACAGTCAGGGAAGTGGAGGGTTAGAGTGTGGACATAATACCAGTGACTAATTTCCTTGCAAGCTCAGCTGTCTCCCCAAAGCAACATTAACGATTCACTCTTTCCTTGTGACTCATGTCTTCATAAAAAGCTACAAAAATGCCAGTTAAGAAAAAAAGTGAATGTGAGCTCATTTTTAAGTGATATTTTGAAACCACGAATGCATATTGGACTGACTTTAGGGAAGCACGACTTCAGAATTAAAGTGACAGACCCACATAGTTTAAATAAGCTTAAAAGTGGCAAAAGTGTTATTTAAACGTGAGCAAAATTCATTAAGCAAATTCTTACCCAGAAGTCTCCTGGAATCATTATAGGATGTCAGCCTAGGGACTCAAAAAGAGAACAGGACTTATATTGTCACCAAGGAAATTGTAGCAAGGTGCATAAAATTTACTTTATGGCAGTTTCACATACTCCATATCCTTTTCTTCTCATAGCAAAATCTCTTCTTTTTAAAATGAGAGAACTTGAAGACTCTTCAAAGGAAATTATCTAGGGCCACCTGGCTAGTGACAGAGCATGAACTAGAATCTATACTCCATGCTGTTCTTTCTACTATGCCACATGGATCCTTAGCTTTTGTGAACATACATAATCGCTCATTCTATATATCTCCATTTTCTCCCACAATATCTTCAGAAGCTACAGCTGATGATTCCAAGGAGTGTCTCCAAAGCTCAGATCTCTTTTGCTTTTTGAACTGCCTGCAATGGCTTTCAGAGAATAAAGGGTACTTTCTCTTTTACCTTCCACTTGAGAGGACCACTCATTGGCGAACTCCAACCAGGAACCCTATGGGGAAGGTGATTCTGAGCAATGGAGTTCACTGTATCTCTTCTAGGGCACAGAAGAGACAGTAAAAACAGGGTGGTGCTGATGTGTAGTGAGGCAAAAAGCAATACTGCATCCCTACTTAGTCTGGGAACTCTGAAAAGGATACTTAGTATTTGAAGAAAGAGTGGAAGTTGAATTGCAGAAAAGGAAGAGAGAAGATCCTGGGTGGAGAAAACAGTGCATTCAGAAGCCTGAAGAAGACAAGAACATGAAAAGTATCAAAGACCAAAGCAAGGCCAAGGGGATGGAGTGAAAAAAGCAAAAGGCAGCAAGCAAAATTCCAGATCAAAGTCAACGGATCAAAGAGTTTATCTTTAGAGCAGTGGAAAGACATTAATGTTTCTAAAGTGGGATGAATGAGACACATTTGGACTTCGAAAGTTGACTCTGTTTGTAATGTGGAGAAAAAATAAGTGCGAGAAGTTCAATTGAGGGCAAGTAGACTAGTGAGGAAGTTGCTGCAATAGTGCAGGGGAAAGCTGAAGGCAGCTTGGACTTGGGTGGTGTCAGTGGTAGTGAGGAGAGGTGGATAGAGATATTGAAAGGCAAAGGGTGATCCAATGGTGAGAGATGGTGGGCTTGAATTTTTCTCATTTCTACTCCAGATTCATTCTCCCCCTTTCTCCACCCTTCTATTTTCCCCAAGAGGCTGACCTTTTTGTGTTGAAACAAATGGCTCCCTGGACCTCTGGCTTCTGAT